AGGTATTTAAAAGACGTGTAGATGCGGCGCTGAGGGACATGGTTTAGTGGGCGTGGGGGTGTTGGGTTGACGGTTGGACTCGATGATCTTAGAATCATAGAATCACTAAGGTTGGGAAAGACCTCTATGAGGGCTCCACGTTGAAACAGCTAGAAAAAGAAGTCAAATTCTCTGGAGAGTCTCAAGTGATTTATTGTCAGATGGGAACTACCAGTTGGCCATCCCATGGTGGGGCAAAAGACAAGATTTAAGGCTTTACAGGTGGCTAAGAACAAGCAGGGATTAAAGAGGAATTCATTGGTGCTATTAAAGCGCAGCGAGATGTCGCGAAAGGTGAAGACCACGGTGTCCATCCCCTTTAGTGGCTTCAGTGATGTCCCTAATCACCCACCTTCGAGTACGGCTGGCCCCATGCTGGTCTCAAGCAACCGGCTTGGCCCCCTCCGTGAATCTAATTTTAGAGCTCCCAGTATCTCACTGGAAGCTTTACGGCAATGTGACGCAGAGCTCCATGCTGGTGTGAACCTCTTCAAACCTTTAATCCGTATGGTCTGGATGTTCGGCACCCCAATTTTCACCTGAGGGCATCATGCCAGCTTGGTCTTGAATCCAGGCTTATCCCTTCTCCCAAAGGCTGAGCTAAACTCATGGAGTCTGGCTAACCCCGCTGGAGTAAGATCATCTGCCCAGGCCAGATTTGAGTCAAATTTAGTCCTGCCAGAGGACCTGGTTGCATCCAGCTCTGGTGTAAAGGATTACGGGAGCAATGCCTTGACCAGCAGCACGGTGGCTGGAGCATTTGGGCAGGAAACCTGTGGAGATGCGGGTGCACGAAGCTGACAGCACTGACCAGGCGTCGGGGAGCTCTGCGGGCAGTCACGGAGGGTTTACCACGTCCTTTCTCTGGCCAAGGACAAAGGGCCTGAATTTGTACGCAGATTGGGCAAAGGAGAGTTGTTTAATCCCTTCCAAGTGTAGACTTCTTCAACTGTTGAAGAAGAGAGTCCTTCCACAGTTGATGAAGAGAGATAGGCACATGGAAAGCATGATTTGCCTGTCCTATTTTGACCTCTCTGGATGAGTTGCCCACCAGAAGTGCTTATTTCCCTCTGCCTACTATAAAAGCAGCTCAAATGGTTGCAATCTACACGTCAACCACCAACTGATGAGAAGAAAATGCTGGTGGGAGCCTGGACTCCCGCTCGGGCGACGCAGGCAGCGTGAACAGCGACTTAACCTGGTGCCCACCTCTTTCCATCAACCGAAGGAGGAGCCTACGTCTCTCTGCAGGTCATTTGATCTTCCTGTACGCTGGATCTGCAACTATGAGACGTTGGGCCAAGGGTTGAGGCTGGGCAGAGCTGCCACCTTCTGTTGAGGACACGCAGGATGGGCTGCCTTTCCTTTGCACGATGACAGCTGGAGCACTCGATTGGGAACGGGGGAGAATGAGGTTTGACGCTGCTCTTCCCGAGAGCATTTCTATCCTGGTCTCTATCCTGCTGCTCTTAACCACCTAGCTGTTGGTGTCTGGGTGGAGCAAGGTGCTTTCCACCACTCCTCCTGCCCCTCAAGCCACCCGCTCACCGCCGGCACCAAGCTCTCCACGCAACGAGGAACACGACGGTCATCGGACCAGAGAGAGCGAGCCCAGCTCCACCCAGAACCACGGCCGGATCCGCTCCCCGGCAAAGGAAGCCGGAGGAAAAGTGAAGATCGGTATTTTGTTCTCGACGTCAAAAAACGCCACCTCTCCCCATTCGTAGTCTAGAGAGATCCGGATCTTTTTGGGGACCCGCGGCAGGTTAAGGAGGGTTGGAGGGGAGGTGAGGGCGCGGTTCTTAAATCCCCATTGCTGCACCGCCCAGATCCCTTCCTCGGGATTAAAGCTGATGGGTCCCTTCCTCTGCAGAGACTCTTTGCTGACCCCAACGGCGCAGTACTGTCCCTCTTCTAGATCCACCACCCAGTAGTGTCTCCCGGAGGTGAAGGCTTCGCAACCCAGCACGCAAGGATCGGCGTCAAACCGCTCGGGGCTGTCGGGAGCCTCCCGCAGCAGGTATTCCCATCTCACGCTCTTCTGATCCTCGGAGAGGATGAGGCGGGGGTGGGCTGTCTCCGGGTCCAGCGTCACGTTTGCTGTGGAAGAGGAAGAAGAGGGCGAGAAAGAGAATTAAACTTATTTAACCTGCCTTTCGCCCAGGGACTGGTGTCGTCTTGGAAATCTGATAAGGTGTTTTGTCCTTCTGTAGTTGAAGGCTCGACAACTTGATGTGCAGCTTTCCCCACGCGCATACGCGACGCCGTCTGGCAAACCAGAGTGCCAAATTACTTCCCCATTCTTTTCTTCATCTGTCTCCAAATTACTTACCCATTTTTTCTTCCTCTT